CATGTCAGCTGTGCGATAGTCGAGCACCGGTCGACCGGGCTTCCGTGTCTTGTCGGCAACTGACGTCGAACTAGGTCTGGCGAGATATGATCTAGCCTCTGACACATTCGATTTACGAGCCATAGACTTCTTGCCTTTAAAACTCCGCTTTTTGTGGATAAGCTTTTCTCGACCTCCTTCTCTCGCCTCCTCTTCACGCAGGTCAAAGTCGTGATACCACGCAGTACCAGCGACACTCATCTTGCGGAAACGCATCGAGTTGTTCGTTAAGGTGCCGGTTTTGTCGGAAAATATGTAGCTAACTTGTCCCAATTCTTCGTTGATAGTGGATGTCCGTGCCTCTATTGGTGTGTCACTCTCTGGGTCGTACATGTCGATGTCAGCGTTGAGCATCAGCATCTGTGCAACCTTGACGATTTCCATACTCACGTAGAGTGAGATAGGAATCATGGTGTTGAACATGATCAGGAACGAAGTGAAGATTGGACCATAGGACACGTTTGCCTTGTCCAAGTACCAAGAGTTTTGCTCAACATCATCTGACCAGTAAATGTATGCCACAGTGCAGGCGACCGCCAGCACGACCACCAATAGTACAATCAGCATGACCACCCGGTTGACACGGGCTTGAAGCGCAGGTGACTTGATTCGAGGATTCTTGTTCGCGTTCATTCGGATTTTACACTCCTCACCAGTGTAGATAACCATACCGACTGCCTGCTCAGTATTGCGCATGATGCTACCACGGTAGATAACCTCGTTGTTCGTCAAGGGCATTTTTTCGCCAGCGGCAACCGTAACGTTGCCATCAAATTTATAGAGATCCAAATTGGGATCCTCAACAGCGAAGTGCATGGCATTGCTGCAAATTCCATCGATTGTTGCACACACCTTGGCGACTGGTTGACAGGGCTGCTTGTTTTTGAGGTTTGTTTCACCGTCCAAAGCCATTGTTTCAATATAAGCGATATCGTTGGGCCCGTCTGCATGGAGCAAGACCATATCCGCTGGCACAGGCTGATCACGCTCCAGCTTGACAACATCCCCGACCTTGATGTCTTTCCATTTCACCATAGCCCAATCCTGGGCGTCACTGGCAACGGAATCGCTATCACTAGACGAGGTTTGGGACAGTATGCCTGCACCTGGACGCAAAACAGACACATAGCGGTTGTTTTCCTCCTTGTCCAAGCGATAGCGACGCCAGTCGTCGAAACCTTCCTTCCCCATGGAGATGCCAACGAAGATCAAGAGCGGGACCAGAGTAGTGAAAGAACCTGTCGTACTCAAGCCTGGAATCATCTGCAAGATGGCCACCACAAGGAAGTAGAAGTTTGCTAGCTTGGTAAATTGAGCGAAAAATTGTCGGGGAAAGAAACTCCAGAGGCTGTAACGACTGGATCGGATCCAATTTCCACAGTAGGGCTTTCCGGTCCTCTCATCAATCAAATCCTCTGTCCTAGTAGGGTCAAGAACGATATGGCGGCCATCCTTGCTTGGAGGAATATCTTTAATCCGAAGGATTGTTTTGCGAGCAGACTCCATGAATTGATCATATCGAGCCTTAATTCCTGCAATGGCAGCCCGTCTTTTTAGCCATTTCTCATATGCGATACTGGTAGACATGTGCCTGCCTCCCTTGAGATCTTCCGATGGGTCGGAGAAATATGCCGTAGAAGTATCATCAATATGAACAGGGCTAGGTTCAGGTGCCGAAGTCTGAGTTACAATTACGTCCTGTTTTTCATCTTCGGTCGACTTGCACCCATATTGACCATCCCCCGTAAGGGCACCTTGACCTGTGCCGTCGCTCGATTTCCGTGAACGCCGTTCATTCTCCGTAGAAGTCTCCTGTTGCGGGCTCACAGGCTGGGCCAATTCAATGTCATTCGGTGAGACAGACCCAGGGGAAGTCGCTGAGACAATATTCTTCGTGAAGATAGTCCGTCGAAGCGAATACCCGCGATTGCGCGATCGCGAGCGACCTGAGTCTGGGCTTTGCGGTGATGGAGCGACAATGCCAAGTGAGGAGAAAGGGGTGAAATCGGTCCATGTTCTGGAGATCTAACTGACAAATGATCGTCTTGGGTAATGCTAGTGTCGATAGTCAAGCCCCTGGAACTTTGTCTCCTATTATGACTGGTAATTCTAGGCTCTTCCACGAGGGGGCGCTCAAGATCGGCTGAGAAGCGAACACGGGGCTGGTGGGAATTCCTCCGTCCGGAGTCTGATAGTGTTCGCGAAGGGGCAATGGACGGCCGTTCTTGACTGATACTATGCCGCGACGGAACACTAATGGAATGGCTTCTCGGGAGCGTTGAGCCCAGGCTAGAATCATGTCCGGTTACTTCTTCCACCACTATCTGACCTTCATCAGACGTCACTCCTTGCGCGTCCCGGTTCGATTCGGCCCTCGCATCCTGGTTGGGCATAGCGAGAGTAATTCTCCTTTAATAGCCTCCCGGCTAAATGGCGCAACGGTTCGGTTCGTCCAACGACTCTGCAGACTCTGTACAGTACTTTCTGGAGTATGGCAAGGTTATATTCACTGTTCAAAGCCAAATGATTGCAATCGAACGGTGTATCGGCGGCGAGTAAACGAATAAACCTGGTGCATTCTTCAATCGAACGGGTGGGGAGTAAAGAAAATCTAGCACAGCGTCTACAATCGACGGTAAGTGATACTCCAATCCAACGACAGGCTCAGGCCATAACCTGTACCAAAAGATAGAGAACAATAAAATGGTATCTCGATACGATAGCGACAGTCCGTTATAGCAATAGATGATACGACAATCGCACGTTTTGAGGCAAAACGACTGTGGGGAAGACCTCCGTTAGGTCAACAACCAAACAATACACTAGGAAAGAAAGGAAGATACCAGATCTAAAGAGGTACGAGAAAACAAAACAGAAGGAGAAGAGACTGTGGAGAGCTGGCAAAGCACACCACCGCGAACGAACGAAGAAGTCAACGTCGACACCTACCGTCGTCCGCAGGCGGCGACTGGGTCGAGGCCTCTTGCAAACTAGTTGCTCTGGTTGAGTTTTGGAGACCGTGGACCCAAATGACCGTTCCCGTAAGCGGTAAGATGCCCGAAAATAGAGTAACTAACCGCCACTTTGGGGGGAGAGGCAGAAAAAAAAAAAAAACTAGCTTTTTCCCGGTTTAAACTTTGCCTCTGTGATATTTGGAGTATATGTACTCGGCAGTAGTCTGTATGTATGTCTCACGATCGCAATCAAAAGACGAAAACACTTCCAAGAAGAGGTCCCTACCTACCAACCATATAAGAAGTAAAGTCAAATAAAATGAGTCGGAGCAAATCCTTGGACCCCTCGTAATTTAGGCCCTACAGTGGTCAAAGGGGCCCTCCCCACTAGTTAACTTAGCGATGCTACCAAGAGTCCATCGATAATTTCTCGACGGGCGCCTGTGGAGAAAACTGTACAGAATGACCTTAAATTACCCGCCGACCAGTCAAGGGCTTTGTTAGACCAAAGCGGTGGCTTGGAGGAGGCCACGCAAGTCAACGCAATCCGGGAACTCAATACGATGATGAATGGCCTCATTGGCAATTGTCACCCACTTAATGGCCACCTGGGGTTACAATTCTCCCGTCAATCAAATAAGAATTTCTCCCATGCCCATGTGCTACGTCAAGGTGGCATGCTTCCAACACTGTTTTCTTCTTGTCCTTTTCGCAATCCGTAACCTTAAAAGACAGATAACGCTTATCACCAGGTATTTTTTTTTCTTACTTGCATGCATATATGCTTACTGTACTTTGGCCAAGAAAAAAAAAAGGGCCTTACAGGCTACAGCCATTACTATGAAGTCCCTACTACTTGGGAGAACAAAGACCCCAGAAAGTTTTTAATAATATCTTCTTCTAATATTGTATTCAACCCAAAGGAAACACTTTTATCTGGGTACGATGCACAGCCTCACAGAGAACATTTGGTTGAACCTGTCACTCAACCCAGGGTTCAGTGGCGGCATGTCTTCCATTCCATCCATTCCAGGTATCTTTCTACGTACCGATGGAATCTTCACTCAGGACCCCTGGGGTCACACCCCGGAAGTTGAATACTACGGTTCTTGAACCCACAGTGCGTGGCAGACTGACCACCCACGGACGTGCATTTTACGCAGCCTTGTGGGTAAGTACTAGTAGTGCGTGGTGGCAAGGATTCGAGGAATGAGAAATGCATTAAGCCCAAAGGCGGGGCCAACCCGAAGTGACTGAACCTTGTCATCAGGGCACACAGCCGACTTCGTTGAAGGCTCTGGGGGACCGCCTTTAGGCTGACACTTTCAACGATGAGGCCGTCCTTATGTCGTGATCCTTTCTTATCTAGGTTTTTAGATCAGGCAAACATATTTTGAACCTCTACAGAAAAAAAGGAAAAGAAAAAGAAGAAAACGAACGAGGAAGGATAGTAACATGATAGCGACTGACTCAATAACCACACCACCACGACTACTAGTAAGTAACCCCATCATGAATCCTGCTCAGTGGGACAACACCGGGTCACGTGGCAGCATGGATCAACGAACTGTCCTATTGGAGTATAGTGCCAAGTTCATAGCCTGGTTAGTTGCTCACTCTACATTTCCAGGCTCCGTCGACGTCATTCAACGGGCGGGAACTTCCGACCCTGGCAAAACATTGGATAGCTGCAGGCATCTACGACATACTAGTAGTTTACGACGACTTCCAAAGTGATAGTCTGTCTCATCAACCATGTGATACCTCAATTCCATGCTGATGTAGCTCCCATTCGAAATACAGACGTTGCGCGCAGTAAAGATAATATCGACGTATGTTCTATCCTTAACCATTGACCAATTCCGCCGCACCAGTAGCCTTTAGTCAATTTGGGCTAAGCGCCGTAGAAGTGAACAAGTAAGGAAATCGTAATCATAATGGATACAACTAGACGACCTGCCTTTTCAAGAAAAAATAAACCCCCTTTCCATCCCGCTTCATGTTCATTTAGTACCGCGGTGGCGGAGGGGGAGCGTATCCGTAAGGGCTCTGTGGTGGGGGGTAGCCTCTCGTGGCACCAGCGGGCGGTTGTCCATATCCAGCAGAAGGAGGAGGAGACCCGTATCCACCATACTGCTGTGGCTGTCCATAGCCAGGTGGTGGGCCCTGGCCCTGGTTAGGAGGATAAGGTGCTTGACCATATCCCGGTCCTGGGCCATATGGACTGGGTGGCGGAGGTTGATTAGGGTTTCCTCGCTGGCCATATCCAGGTCCCGGGTTATAGCCACCATACTGACCTGGTGGAGGTCCTGGAGGTCCACCTGGCCCCCGGAATCCGCCAGGTCCACCAGGTCCGCCAGGTGCTTGGGGTGCTTGGGGTCCTTGGGGTCCTTGGGGTCCTCCGAATCCGCCAGGCCCTCCAGGTCCGCCAGGCCCTCCAGCACGGCCGGCGGCCTTCTCGTCCTTGGTATCATATGAGGAATCAATAGCACCAAGCATCAATTTAGCGCACTATGGATTCTTAGTCTGCAGTCTTCATTGGTTTTTGTTGGCGTAGTGTCTACTTACCCAAAGTTCTCGAGTCAAATACACAGGGGGGAGGGCACGAGACATCTCGTCTTGCTCGACCTCAAAGTCTGCCAGATATTGTTAGCGCCCAGTCACGGTAACTTTTACATAAGATGTATGGGGAACCCACTTGAAGTGCAATCAATCAAATTTCCAATGCTTGGGTCCTCATCCAAACTAGATAGGAAATCACGTGCCTTGGCATCATTGCCCACCTGCGAGAACTGGAAAGAAACAGCACCCCGTCCAAATGGGGTTCGCGATACCTCGTCAACAGCATAGCGAATCGAATTAGCCACGCAGTCGAGAGGTTCACCGGCTGGCTGTCCGTCTGTAATGGTAATGATAAGTACCGGCTTCTGTAAGCGACCTGCCCGGGCGGGTCCCACGACCTGAGGATCCAGAACCTTATTCTTCAGACCTGTCCCCAGCGGTGTCAACCCTTGGAAACGGACACGTGAGACCAGCATGTTGACATCATCCACATTGCGGATGCCGTCGCCTCTTTCCATGGAGTTCATGAAACGCACCGAGATGCCGTCCTCATCGAAGGTAGATGCAGCGGTCGCAACGATGCCAATGATCTGCCTCAGTTGTTCTTTTCTCACGCCTCTTTCCTCAAATTCGATAGATCCACTGTCATCTACGTAAAGAATGATATCGAAGAGGGACAATTTAATGATGTCCGTAGCTACCTCTGTCGGCACTCCCCATTCACGGATGATCTTGTTGATTTTAGCCGGTGCATCGTTGGCCAGACCTTGAACGAGTAAATTCAACTTCTCGGGGGGATAGAAGTTTTGGAGATTCTTCTCTTGGATGGTCCCAATTAGAAGCTGGCGATAGGCGGCTACCTGCTGCTCGGTGGCTCGAGGAGCGGGAGACGCGCCTCCTGGAGGGCCATAGGGAGCACCTTGAGGTCCAGTCGGTCCAGGTGTTCCTTGCTGTGGAGGACGCGCGGGACCACCGGGGTAAGGTGCATTCTGCGGAGGATATCCTGGTCCCTAGTAGTTTATCCAGTTAGTCCACTTTCTTGACCAAGAATTTGTTTCAGTGATGATAGTTTTCAAAATAAAACAGACACCATAAAGGGGATGCGACAAGGTGGGGACATGTGGGATGACTATGTACATGAGAAGATGGCTGTGAAGGATATTCAGGTCCAGGCGCGGATCTAGTTGACGAGCCATGTGGGGATGGCGGAGGAGGCCTTCCGTAGCCTTGAGGAGGTTGCCCGTAGCCTTGAGGGGGTTGTCCATAACCTTGAGGAGGCCCATAGGGGTCTGATCCATAAGGGGGGGCCTGAGGGTATCCCTGTTGCGGTGGTGGAGCCGAACTATATGGCGCTGGGGAGTAACTCTGAGGTGCAGGGGATTGCGATGAATGAGAATAGCCAGGATAAGTTGGAGACACCGGAGACGGTGAGGGTACTGGCTTGTTTGGAGGCACTGCTGGGGCATACGCTTGGTACTGTTGGGGCGGCGCCGACGACGTTGGATAGGGCGATGCGACCCAGTACGTAGCTGTGGAGGATATCCTTGTGGGTTATAATAAGGTCGCGACATTGTTACACGGAAGCGTCCAGGTGTGAGTAGAAGGAAGCGAAGGGCGTGAGGTCCAAAATGTGGACAGCCGATGGAGAAGTGGTGAACGATGTAGACAGAAAGTCCCAAATTCCCCCTTCACTTGATAGACGGATAGATTGTGGAGGGGTGGCGACGCGAGCAGGTAAGGCAGAAATTGAAAAGAAAAGCAAACGAGAAGCAAACAAAATTAGCTTACCGAGTTGCCGGATCGAGCAGGAGAACCTGGGTAAGCCTGATATGATTGTTGTGGTTGCTGCTCCAGTGAGCAACGATCATCAGCAGTGACTCAAGAGAATGTGGTGGAAGGGAGATTGCCAGTGGTAATGAGGGGCACTGCTAGGTTTAAGGTATGGGTAATGGTATAGGGCAGCAGGAAATGGGAAAGAAAATATAATAGTGTAGCTTGGCCGCTACTTTTAGCTATTCTTAGTGGGCACACTCACATTGTATCCACTGGGAGCAGCACCACCAGACTGCAGCGCTGCAGGAGGGCCGCCCGTGTAGCCTGTGGGAGGCGCTCCTCCAGGTGGCCCCGAGCTGTTACCACTCATGTTCTGCGGGTTTTGACTGCCGGCAATCTTGGAAGCAAACTAAGTAGGCGCATACAATATGCAGAGATTAGTGCTGGGATTATACTTCTATTGTCTATTGGGTAGAAGAATGTAGTTTTCAAGTCTTAACTCATTCCCAGGAGAAGCTTGACTGAGGGCGGGGCAAGACCGCGGGGCATAAGAGATTTGAAGGACAGTGGAACTTACACCCATGGTGGATGTTGTTGAATCCTTTAACTTGTGGCCGTCGGAGAATTCAAACTGAAGTCAAACACAGTACAAGAGGGAAGTATGTCTTGGAAGCAGGTCAAAATAACAGATTGCGTAACTGAGAGAGAAGTAAATAGATTGAGGGGACCGTGATGACGATTGGGTTCGTCGTCATGAGACCCGCTTTTTTTTTTTTTTTTTTTGTTATTTTTTCAGCTAAGTTTGAGGGGACATGGAAAATACGAGCATCCCCTCAGACCTTCCGAGTACTGCAACGAACAACGATATAGAATTACGCCGTGGGTATCCTAAGGGGAAAGTACTTTTGCAGAACCGGCTATATTCGCCACTCATACTTAAGAGTAGGATAAATACAATTTAATACATCGTTATTTGTACATGACACTACCACAAGTACTACTCTGTACACATTCAGAGTTTAAATATATACATTGTTACTTCCATAGTCTGTACCACAACCAGGTTCAGGAATAGTTTCCATGGATCAATGGAAAAGCCCATCACTATTCCATGCCAAATACAATTACAGATGGAATAGATTTGGTAAACCCCACATACGAATACGTTCGTCGAAGAGGATTACGGATCCATCCATAAGGCTGAGCTGGTCTCAGCCCCGGCCTAATGGTAACGTATTCAGTCAAGATGGCAATCCAAGGGACCAACTGATGGCTTGTTATGACTCTCATTCTAAATCTGTCCATCACTCGTTTCTTTCGACAATCGTGACATCACAGCCATCGCGGTTGATCAGTCATACTCCTTCAGCTCAAGTGATTATGGGGCTATACCCAATCAGTCACCCCAGTCCATGGCCTGGAACGTAAGGCAGTGGATCACCGGTCAAATCATCTGGACCATACCTCAAGATCAACATGTCACATTATGATTCTCATACCTGCCTTCATGTGTAACCTTGTTGTGGACTGACCTTGCTATCCCTTCAGATTTGCCTACAGTTCCCACGGATCGTTCCATTGGTTGAAATCATCTGTCACCTCGTATTCAGAGTATACATGGGTTGTGATCTGACTCTTCACAAGGTCCATTACCATAGACCTATCTCATGATATGCCTATCTGAATACAACTGGACATGAACAGGAATCATGGCGTCAGATGAACAGTACCGGCAAAACCAATTGAAGCGACCCCTAGGATTGGAACCTTCCGTCGCCGTTTCCAAACCAATATGTAGCCACTGATGTCACTCCGCTCAAAAGAAATATAGGACGGCGAGCTCTGCATTGATAAGGAGGAAGGAAAGCGCGATGCAAATTTTTGCCCCGTTTTTCTTTGTATTTTCGCTCGCGTCTCATTCTTTTGTCTCAACAGTACCAAGATCCCTTGCACCAGGCATACTTGGCAAACGCCCTTTGCGAACTCATCTTATTAAAGAATGAGCACCTGCGGTTCTTTTCTCACGGCGTTTTCTGATCCTTTTATTACTTGACGGGTACGTTCAATTGACAATTCTTCACGTGGTAAGTGTTATACTGTGTGTTCTCGCTCTCTAGCCTGGACTTCGCTTCTTTGTTCTCTGACCCTGACGCGGCATAATTTTACTTGACAGAGCCGGAATGACACAAACAATTTTGCGAGTTGGAATCCTCACAGATGGGGGCCAAGCCATTCAAAACCTCTATCTTCCTGTTCTCCGAACACTTCATGACTCCTATCGCGTCACTGCTATCTACGACTCCTCCAGTCTGTCTTCGAAGCTCAGCACTGCCAATGACTTGCCTAAGGTTGCTTCTAACCCGGAAAAGGTTCTGAATGACGCTTCCGTCGACCTTGTCTTGAACTTCATGCCGAATGAATACCACGAAACGTACACTGTTGCGGCTTTGGAAGCGGGCAAGCACGTTATGGTGGAAACACCCGTCAGCCTGAGCATTCCGAGCGCAAAGCGTATAATCGAGGCCGAGAAGCGCGCTCCGAACCAAGCGAAGGTTTTCGTGGCTTCTGCACGTCGATATACCCCCTGCTTCGAGGTCTTCAAGAAAGAAGCTGCTAGCCTGGATCGAATATATTATGCTCGATGCCGGAATATCGCAGGGCCACATTTGGCACACACAGCTACTGCGCCGAAGAACAAACACTTAAGGGTAAACGGCAATTTGCCAACCGTGCTTTCCCTCGATGACCAGCATGGCGAGCGGCTGCGCCATTGCCTTCTCCAGGAGGTATTTCTTGGCGAGGATTTGACCGAAGAGCGCCTCTCCTTGAGCCGATTTTTGGCATCCTTGGGATGTCATGATTTGGGACTGATGCGTGATACCCTGGGGTATCCCGATGCCATCTCCAATATTACAGTGAATGAACCCTTCTACTCGGCCGTGTTCCATTACAATGGTAGCGTTAGTCGGGGTCACCATCCGTTTACTTTGATATACGAAACGGGAACCGATTCCGTCCCTCGATGTGACGCACACCTAGCTCTCTATGGTAATACCAAGACCGTGAGCATGCACTACGATTTACCATACGCCCAGGGCAAGCCATCGCGGGTAGTTGTGGAAACAGCGGATGGCAAGGGTGATCTGAAAAGAACGGAGTGTGTTAGTAGCTGGGAGGATGCGTTTAACGCCGAGCTTAAGGCGTTGTATGCGTTCTTGGTTGACGGAAAGCCTGCCCAGACAACAGCGAAGGACTCCCTCCAGGATCTCAAATTGTTCCAAACGATTTTTGAGCAATATGATCGACAGTGCGGGACCATTAGAACCCCCCTTGGCTAGATTGGCGACGTGCTTTTGCTTCATCGAACAATTCTGCTATTGGATTCGCCAGCTGGCTAGTTTATTCTTGTTATTGGATATTGTCTTCCTACTTGTGGTTGACATAAGATTAGCGTGAAGGGTGGGAGTTATCGAGGTAAACAAGCACATTGTTTGGATATATTGGTGTTTGCTAAATTGATACGTGAGATCAACTCTAGTTTTAAACGAGACCCGTTGTCACTTTGATATTATATGCAAGACAGGGCCTGTTTATTATACGCAACTGTTCACATATGAATTCACCGCTTTCCCTTCTTCTTTTTCTTGTTAGCACCTCCACCTTGAGACTTCTGCTGCTGAGCCACGGGCGCAGGCGACTCCTCTGCCTTGTCGTTGACAATGCCTCCCTGCGTCCGTTCGGCGGCCCGTTGCTTGCCTTTCCGGCCCTTGGGCCGGTAACTAGAACGGTCGCGGAGGGGCAACCAGCGCTCCGGATCCGGCGTCTTGCTAGCATCATAATCCTTGGGAAGACGTGACTTTCTCACCCGCTTAGTTACATGACCTTGTTTATCGCCAGATGTCCTCTTCCTTGCCCCAGCGATGGCCGCTGCGGCTGCGGCGGCTGCGGAGGAAGGAGGGGATATGCCGGCTGATTCAAGTGCGTTCACATCGACATCCGAGATCAAATCGTCAATTGGAGGGAGAGTGTCAACCTGGGACTCGACCTTGGCATGGTCTAGTGTTGCTTGGGAAGCAACGTAGCCGGCGATGGCGAAAAAATCTTGGCTGTCCTTCTGGTAGAGAGACTTGAACAAATCACCGGCGGTTGTAAGATCTGAGCGGTCCGACGAGTGCAGCAAAGACTCTGCGGCCGCGCGAAGAAGTGAAGAAGGCGCCTCAACATGCTCCTGCCAATAGGCTGCCGCTTTAGCGAGTTCCGACCTAATCTGGACTCTCCGACCTTCGAGTTTATAGAGTGAAACGAGAATGCCTAATAATCCTGGATTGAAGCGGACCTCCTTATCCTGTTCGGAGACGGAGTCTTCGAGTAGCTGGAGGGATTTCTCTAGGGTGGTAATTGCGGAAGTAGTGTTGCCTTCGGTCACGTAGAGTTGCACGGCTGTGAGCGCTAATCCGATGTCCTTCGGCCGCCTTTCAAGTGCGGGTAATACCGCCTTCAGGGCTGGCGTGCCAGTTTGGCCACGTGCATGAGCAGCAGCATTGTAGACCGACAGGAGGTTTACGTTTGGTTTAGCAGAGGGATATGATGCTTGAGAGAGTGCCTTCGATGTTGACCGGATGATACCGTCATATTTCTGGACGAGAAGATCCGCCGAGTGGACATTGCCGGTCACTATATTGTCCTGGTAATCGAAAAGCTTATCGTTGTCAATCGAGACGGGGGTTGCATGTAAGGATTTGTAGAGAGCGTAGGGGTTGGTCGTTGTGTCGCGGACAAGTGTGATGTTATTCAAGGCGACTCTCTTAGTGGAGAGTTCAGAGATACTATGCAACAGTGAGCTTCAATGGCAGAGGTTGACTTGGGGCAGGAAGCATACTCATTGACGGAAATCTCCTCAAGCACAGACTCTGCCTCCTCCGACTTTCCCTGACGGATCAAGACATATAGCTGCTGCACCGCAATCGGGAGCAACTCAGCGGCTTTATCTTCGGGTGTAAGGTCTTCCGATGTCCGGCAGAGCTCTGTACAATAATGATCAGCGACCGTCTTCATGGTGGCTCGGCCCGTACAAACCTTTCGCCCGCTTGAGCAACATTTCGCCCTTACTAAATTCACCCTTGGCGATACTTAGACAGGCAGCATTGTAAACGGTCTCGAATGCCTCCAGATCATCTCTCGTGGGCCTGTTATGGCGGACATAGTCGGGGTATCCTTTCCATTGTAACTGGGCATCTACAGCCCACGCATTGATGCGCAAGTCGTGTTCTTCGTTCGCAAGGGCCGTCTCGTCTTTGGTCAATTCTTCGTAAAGATCAGCTGCGCGGCGGAATTTCTCGGCGCGATAGGTCTATGAGACCAGGTGGTTAGCAGTGACCTTCTGCGGGGACATGTGGTCGGAAGACAGGTAGCGATGACATACGGCTTGAGCCTCCAAATGACGAGCACCTCTATTGTTCGCGACCTGCGAAACTACCTCAATAGCCTCATCCAGGTTTGCGGTCTTGTACAGAGCGTAAGCGTATTCCAAAGCGGCCCTCTTCTTCAAAGCATCACCTCCCTCTTCGAAGACACGCAGACAGTCCTCATAACGGTCGAGCTTCAGCAATGCCACCACTTTCACATGCTGCGCCTGAATATCCGATTTTGATTTGGCCAAAGCTGCGTTGGATGAGCGAAGGAATTCCTCGTGATCGTCGATCGACGTCTGCTGCAACAGCGAACTCAACGATTGGGTAGCCATAGTGAGAGGTGTTGATTCGACGGCGGTCGGTCGGCAAGATGGTCGGTCGGGCCCAGAGAGGGCACGAATTCGGTCGAAGGTTATAGTCTTAGTTGCAAAGAGCGTCCCATATACTCAATTGGACCTTGACTGAGGAGCGGGATGACTGTGCTTGATCTCCAGATACTCCGATGTGGACTATCTGTGCGGAAGTGAGATATTACTTCATTGGGGAATTCTGCGCTCAGAGAGCGCTTGGCTCGCCGTAGGGCTCCATGGATGGATGGCCCGATTCTTCAGGCACCTTTATTTGGTCCGTTCATATTATCCAGATTTGGCTGAAAGAGTTACCTTGCTACTCCGATAGTATGTACCTACTCCGGAATAGGCACTGGGCAAGTACTCTGTATTATTACCCCTTCTTTCGATCTTTCTTTCTACGAGTCTATTCGATCGACCACAGACCATCTGTTTCCTCAAGTGACCAAGCCCATGGCTCGATAGTGCATCCTATGTATAGGCTCCTCCTCCTTTAGTGTGAAAGTCAATCATAATATGTCACACCCTGCAAGGTTTCGGTGGCTTCTCATGGCACCTTGCTGTTATCAAATTTGAGGCACGGCTAGAACATGCCAGACTCTAAGACAAGGCCTAGGTCCCGATGCTACCTCCCTGGAATTGGGGCAAATATTCACATATCCAAGTCTACTTCATGGTATGTCTACTAGTGCAAGCCCTTTTGCAATGCAGGTTGCCTCAGTAGTGACTGCGCAGTATAGCTATTGAAGCTGAGTTGATATGTTCCAAATACCCACTCCCCCATGTCTCCCCTGCGCAATCTTTTACAGATACAACGGTCACGCTATCGGTTCCTCCATTTGGGATGAAATGCATGCCAAGATCATCTAAAAATGTCCCAAATCAGGTGATGTTGATGACAGTTGATAGGGAGACACCTTCTAAGACCAAAGATTGAGGTTGAAATGAAGCAGATCCAGATTATCGATGATCTATTTTTATATCTATGCATAGACATCCATGTTCCATGGCGTGAGAGATATGCAACCTATTGACAAGGAAGGAGAGGTAAAAACGAAATTCAAAAAAAAAAAAAGTCAAAGACCCATCCATATAGTATGAATGATCCAAAATGGATGAAAAGGAAATGATGCCAAGCGATTGGCCTGCAGCCGTCGTCATCATCCCGTGGGCCCCGCCGCATACTGTGTACTCTCGCAGAACGATCGTCTCCAGAGGAATGTCACCCGCGCGTCTCCGTTTGCGACACTTCCTTTGCACGACTTTGATGGGAATGGGTGGTGCCAATGTCAAATGTAACCCTTCACTCCCCGAACAGATGTTGTCTCGGTATCCGGTCAAAATTGAATGATCGGGGACTAGACGCATTGTCAATTGCGCAATAGGATTGATTAATATCCCAAGCGCCATCAGTATGGAGGGCTTCAACGCCACTGACCAAAAGTCGCAAGCCAACTAAATTCTCCTATTTGGGATCCACGGCCGATCAGCCCCTGTGGAAAAAAAAAAAAATCCTGTTGCTGGATCACGGCTCCATGAGGCAGGTGCTGCCCTGACAAGGAGACGTAATCTCATTCGATGGCCATCAAGCTCAATCTCCATTTTTCTCTCCAGAGGACCCAGAGTGGCCAGTCCCATGGTCGATCGTCTGGGCCTTCTCCGCCTGGAAATAACTGCTTTCGTTGCCAGTCCGCCTTCGCGTTCCCCTCCAAAGCCGAAAAACTCAGGGCGAGCGACTCGCTGGCTGTTAAATCCATGGTCCAGGGTCTCCGTTGATCGGCTGGATCTTTACCTTCTTTGCCTCCTTTCTACACCCAAATCTGCTTAATTATCGGTCGGTTAGTGTTTACATACTGACCGATGCCCACCGTTGCTCCCGTTGCCGTCATCCCGACCCCGTACTGGCCTTCATAACCTGTTTGGAGCATTTTCTCTCGTTTCCTGTTTTTATTCTTCGTCTTGTATTACCGTCTCTCTCGTTGTCTTCCCCTCCGCTCGTTACCGCTCGTCTCCTTCATCCCACCTGTGGTGTCGTGCTGGATGATCGAGATGCTTATGCTTTTCTAGTGCGGTACCTAATCTACTTTAATAATTTTACCGCTCAGCTATTCACATCGAGAATCTATAATGTTGGCGAAAGTTGGGGAGAAGCCCCCCGCGATGGGTGCCTCACGGGTGTGGAAGAAAAAGATACTACGGTTTACTGTCGTTCTCTGCTTGGTGGGCGCTTTTGCGTTTTTCCTCTGGCCTCAGATTGAACCCCAGGAGCTTGCTGCCGAGCCCGTCTCGAATATCACAATCACGCCCGATGTGCAATGCGAGCCGGACTTCGACGCTCTTCGCCGTCTCGATGTCCATAAATTGTCAGGATATACGCGCCGGGAGGTGATTGCCGTTCCATCCTCCAACAATGCCCTACCCATCAGGCAAAATCTCCAGACGCCCTTGTTCGAGCGGAAATCGTCGAATGACGCCGATCGCCTCTCGATTCCGCAATCGCAGGACGATTGCATGATCCCAGAGCCTGTGACTGTCCAGGTTCTCCAGCCTCCAAGAAATGTGGATGCATCACATATCGACTTCGGTGTCGCGACCACCCTGGGGCGGCTGAATGAGTCTTTGGATGCGTTCTCTCACTGGGCTGGCTACACCAAAACTCGCATCTTCGCTCTCATTGAGCCTGATATGGATAAGCGGACACATGAGGTCCAGGCTAAGGCGGACTCTCTCGGGATCAATTTGTATATTACGGAAAACGATGAAGAGTACCAACGCCGGTACTTCACGTTGGTTTCGCACTTGGGCAAGCACATGCGGCCACAGACGCGATGGTCCTGCGTCATTGATGATGATACGTTTTTCCTGTCCATGGCTGAACTGGTGAAGGCTCTTGAGGAATATGATGATACCCAGCCTACATATGTCGGCGGTCTCTCGGAGTCGATCCCACAGATCGGTGTGTTCGGTTTGATGGGATTTGGAGGCGCAGGCGTCTTCCTCTCTCGACCCCTCGTGGAGGAAATTAGCAAGCCCGAAGTCTTTGAAGCCTGTCTGAATACGGACCACACCGGTGACCGGAGGATATCTTTGTGCATTTACCAGCACACCTACACGCACCTGACCATCAACCACCGTCTGCACCAACTTGACGTCCAGGGTGACGTTTCAGGATTTTTTGAGTCAGGACGGCAACCACCTCTTTCTGTACATCATTGGAAGTCGTGGTTCCATATGGATATGGCCAAACTCAGTGTCGTCAGCGAGCTCTGTGGCGATAGTTGTCTTTTGCGGCAATGGAAATTCGCCGACGGGTGGATCTTGACGAATGGCTTCTCGGTCATGAAGTACAGCCAGGAGCTTGACCCGAACGACAAGACCATGGAACTTACATGGGAAGGCCAAAACGGAGCAGTACACGAGTCGTTCCTGCACGAGTTTGGTCCTTTGCGTGGCAAGGACTGGGATAAGTTCAGCTATGTGCTGGAAGACTCTGTGCTCGACGGCAACCAAGTACGGCAATGGTACGTCCATCGCGATCCTGAGAAGGGCGACCAAATTTTAGAATTGATCTGGCGAGCTCAATAGAGGACGATTTGAGTTCTCACTTTGGCGTCTGGGGTGTTTCTGTCTTACTACATTCAATCGGCACTTTTATGCCTCTTTCTACCATTTATCGCTGGTTAGGGTATGCCTACACCTCTCTGGCTACCACCTTCACCCACATACCCCCTTTCTGTCTATAGATAAAAGACCGCCCTTCGGCGGAAGCATATATACGGTTTAATCCTCACGGCGGATAGATTATGAGTTTCGTTATTTATTTCTGATGATATCAATTTGTGCAATACGAGTGATGCATGGTTCGGACTTCCCTTGTTTGCTGTTATCTCGTTCATAGCCCAACCATTGCTGGAGTATATATCGGAAATGCCAGGATCTAGATTTTCGAACCAATTCTCTGGTTTATTGGAGAGAATGAAGACCAGTTTTCTATTTTCATATATCAGTGCCCAGTGTATCTCCATCAAGGTATGTACAATAATGATCATTAACTGACTCTATAAAATCTCATACTCCTCATGACCCAAGAACCAACTCCCAAAGCTCCCAAGAAGTGATTGATCCCTGCACCCTTGCACCGTCTTCACCCTATATACAAACGATCCAATATTATATACCAGGAGGAAACCCAATGCCAAATGCACGCTGCAAGCATATATACAAACCTCACACACTGCAACCAAGAAAATAAACATTAAAAAAAAAACGGTCTCAAAACGAGATCTCCGTCCCACCCACAATCCGCTCCCCAGCTTCATCCTCCTCCCGCTCATGCAGATTCTCCGAGATGCCCAATAAATTGAACCCGGATTCATCCGTGCGCCACGAGATGGAGGGTGGGCCACCAAACGACGGCAGAAAGTCGCTGATGGAAAGCGAGCAGTCGAAGCTGAGGATCCCGCGACTTTGCTCCACGAGCGCCGGGAAGAGATACGACTGGGATCCGCGGATGCGGGAGAGGGTGGTGAGAATGCCCCAGAGGAGTTCACGGGGGTCGACGGCGGATTCGGCGAGGTGGTGAGCCGCTTTCGTGCTGAGGGAGCGGGAGACGTCCGCGACGGAGGTGCCGAGGTCATAGAGTTTTTGTTCCTGTTTTGCTTGTGTTAGGGTTGTCGAGGGGTGTAGTGAGTGGACGTATGCGGGCTTACCATTCCGATGCCGTGGGCGTCCACGGCGCCTTGGGATGCTGCGGCGATGACGCCCATGACGGCCTTGCCGACGAGCACGGGCAGGTGGAAGGGGAGAACGGCGTCGTCACGCGAACCTGGCTGCGTGGCGTGCGTCATGGAGAGTTTCCACATCATGGCTTGCAGCCATTGCTGGGTGATCAGGATGTCTACTTTCTGGATCTCGGAGACGCCTTCCAGGGAGATTTGCTTGGCGAGGCTGCATTGAATGGACGAGGTGGGTGGCGTCTCACCGTCTGCGCTGCTGCCGCCGCCGGCCGAGACCCAGTCGTAGAGGTTCGGGCTGAGCTTTTCGAAGACGTTGATGAGGTTGATGAAGCCGTAGGCGAGGATTGGGTCGTCGGAGCAGAGCACCTGGGGTTTGTGGATGGAGTTGCGGAGCATGACTGGTTTTGCTTGTTGCAATGCGTAGCCTCTGGGGGTTTTGGGTGTTAGATAGTGCTGCAGTGGTTGGAAAAAAGTAGAGGGTTTCTTTGTTTGTATATGTATAATTATTTTGTTTCTTGTTCTTACCTTTCTGTGACGAATAGGAGCCAGAATACCCGCCGCTTCTCTTCTGCTTCCTCCACGCTTAATTTGGAGTATGTGGATTCACGTTGCAGGCCTAGCGTGAAAACCATGGACATGGTCTGGCTGAGATAGAACCATGCCTGGTCCTGTCGGTCTAGGTTTCCGTACGCGGCGAAGAGAAAGAACGAGGTTAGGAGGTTTTCCATGTTGATTTCGTCGACTACGTTGTAGTCCTTTCTGGCACGCACGGCTTCGGCTAGGAGTTCCGCGCCGGACAACATGGGGTGACCGTCGATGGTGGCTGTAGCCGAGTCGGGGCCTGGCGCTGCACCGTCCAGCTTCAGCTGGATGTGCGTGGCCGCGCAGAGAGAGGCAATGAAGGCGTAGCGCTGGGGAGACAGACGCTCGGGCTGGTGGCAGTCCTGCTGCAGCTGGTCCTGCCTCACGATGGGCATGATGGGGAACAGGTACTTGAAGAAGACATTGACATGGGCCAGGAGGATTGGCGGAGAGAGACGGCGCGGCGCGGGGAGCGCGCCGATGGTGGACGAGTCGAAGAGCGAGTTTGTCGAATCGGGCGAGGAGACGAGATCTGGGGGCGGGAGGCGAGTGAACGACTCCGAGAAGTCAGGATGTGGATACTGGGCGTCCACGACGGTGAACGGCGGCGAGGTCGGGGATGCCAAATGGCAGGCCGCTGGATCTGGGGGCAGCCATTCCTTGGTGAGGGGACGCGGTCGTGATGCGAGGGGATGGATGGGAGCGAGAGGGTACAGAGTGCGGAACTTGGGACCCTTGCGACGGAGCACGTCGCTGTAGGAGCAGGAGAGAAGCAGACGCTGGCACTTGTCGCAGGGAAGCTCCCTCGAACACTTGATCTTGCGTCGACGGCAATTGTCGCACGCCTGTTTCGGCGGTTTTTCTGGGGTTGCGGATGGTTGTGACTCCATTTCCTCCTGTTCGGATTGAGGAGATGTTCGGTTGCGATGAGATCTGCTCGGATACTATCTCGCCGATGTGGAACCTTTAGCAATCATTGCATACCGCAAGAGCTACTAGTGTTAGGAGAATGACCGATGTAAAAGTTGGGGATAGCGAAAGCGGGCTGTGTCGCCATCACCGGCTGGGATTGAAGGAAAAGAGAAGAAATCCGGGGAACCATACAAAAAAAGAAAAAAGAAAAAAGAAATTAAATAAAAAAGAAATAATAATGATAATGATAATAATAATAATAATAAAAGCTAGGCTGCAGGTGCAAAAAAGAAAACCCCGCGTTACTTTAACAAGATGAAAGGGTTTAATCTACCTGGAGTGAGTCTTTAGTCTTGATTTAGTCTGTGCCCTAAAGGTCCCCTAGCGTCGTTCCGAACCAAATGGAACAAATGGGAGGACCCGTCGGTAACAACTCGTTCCCAAGTCACATCGGGATTCGTTGCAGACTCATGTTTATATTTAACGATGTTATACCCCATCGGGGCTAACGGCCGCTTAAGAATGGTGGAAAGATGTGGTGAGGGAGCGTGGGAGATGCAGGGAATCGGATTCATCACCTCTATCTTGTGCGGAGAGTCTGTGCATAAATCAGCCTTAGCAGCTTGCGGAGGGGGGAACCCGGCCGTGCCACACAGAATAGTAATCTATGTGGTCAGGGACCAAATCAAGAAGGAGTACAGGTTCACGTAATGGTTATTCCAGGATGAAAGGAAGCACTTCGTGGACCTCGTTTGTTATTTCCGAGAGAATAGCGAACTAAAGGCAGTATACAACAACATGTGGGGATGTCAACCGCTCTCGGGAAGCCGAGGTCAAGAGACAGGGAAATGGATGACCTGGAGGAGATCGTAACACCGCCGAACTTTCCACGAGCCGATGACGATAATCCACTCTTAGTCTGGGCCCCTGGTCCCCTCGTCCCCACGGGGGACTTCCTTCCTGGCCCCAAAGAACAATTCCCCCGTATTTGGAGCTTGTTGCCCTTGCCAATCAGCCAATACGTACTGGAAGCCATCGGATGCTCCCGTCAATGGCACCACTAGAAATGGTGTGGACAAACCTCACCGGCACACCGGAGGGGTTTAGGCACCTTGGAAGGAGTGTGGGGAATGATGTATTTGCGAAGATGGATTGACTAGTAGGGAGCGACTCGCTTTCCAGGGCTCAAAGCGTCAATGTCGGGCATTTATCGGGGGATGGACCAATCAGCGCGGGGGAATCAGATGACGGCCAGGAGCGTTTCCAATCTCCGGACACGGGGGGTTTTTCCAACTGCTCGACCCTCTCCTCTATTCCGGTCTCGTCCTTTGCTCGGCAAAGATTCATTTCCCATCGTCGGCTTCGCCGCTACTCTTTCGTCACGTCCCAAAGGTTGGATGATGTTGTCCCCACTCAGTGTGGGTGAAGCCACCTCATTGCTGCGGAGGACCGTATACACTCCCCCCCCCGCATGGTCGAGAGATTGCAGGCTTTACCCCTCCGGCGTTGGACGGGGAAATGGCTTGCCTTCACAGAATGTAACATCCATCGTTAGGAACGGGGCGGACGATCAATGTGAGGGATTTCGGCATATATATCTAGTGATATTTTCCGGTTCGGAGACGGTTGAAGTGTCCGTTTCCTAGAAAGAAGAACCGCGGCACTGTCCGGCATCAGTTTTGTGGACCACGCCATGGCCGGTCTAAAAAGCTTCCTGGTCAGTTCTTGGCTGCTGCCAATGGCTTATGGGGCGACTCAATCCTTCGTTCCTAGCACTTCCGGGACAGCGGCACACTCGCAATTCACCATACCCGCCTCTGCCGATGTGGGTGCGAATTTGATCGCCAACATCGATGACCCCCAAGCGGTCAACGCACAATCTGTCTGTCCGGGTTACAAGGCATCGGATGTGAAACATACCTCACAGGGCTTCACCGCTAGCCTGGAGCTAGCTGGAGACCCTTGTAATGTTTACGGAACGGATGTTGATTCATTGACCCTGACTGTGGAGTATCAGGCAAAGGATCGCCTGAACATCCAGATTGTTCCAACGTATGTTGACGCCTCCAATGCATCCTGGTACATTCTTCCGGAAGAGCTAGTACCTAGACCAAAGGCTGCCCAAAATGCATCGGTTCCCCAGAGTGATTTTGTTGTCTCTTGGTCCAACGAGCCTTCTTTCAACTTCAAGGTGATCCGGAAAGCTACTGGTGATGTGCTATTCAACACCAAGGGCTCTACTCTTGTCTACGAGAATCAATTCATAGAATTTGTCACGTCGTTGCCTGAAGAATATAACCTATATGGCTTGGGAGAGCGCATAAACCAGCTGCGGCTACTGGAGAACGCCAATTTGACGCTGTATGCCGCAGATATCGCAGATCCCATTGACGAGTACGTATCTGGCAATTGCTTCGACCCGTTTAGATTTAGGCTAATACGGATAACTCTAGTAACATCTATGGACATCATGCATTCTACTTGGATACAAGATACTACAAGGTGGATGGTCAGAACAAGATTCATACCATAGTCAAGAGCAGCGAAGCGGAACCATCGCAAGAATGTGTCTCCTATTCTCACGGAGTGTTCCTCAGAAATGCCCATGGACAGGAAATTCTACTGCGGGATCAAAAGTTGATCTGGCGCACCTTGGGAGGAAGCATTGATCTGACCTTCTACTCTGGCCCAACTCAAGCAGAGGTCACCAAGCAGTATCAGCTCAGTACCGTTGGACTACCGGCCATGCAGCAGTATAACACACTCGGATTTCACCAGTGCCGCTGGGGTTATAACAACTGGTCCGAGTTTGAAGACGTTCTTGCCAATTTCGAGAGATTCGAGATTCCTTTGGAGTACCTCTGGTAAGAAACATGTTCCGCGCTCATTTGGCTCCGCCTGACACCTATATGCAGGGCCGATATAGATTACATGCATGGATATCGCAATTTTGACAATGACCAATATCGTTTTTCATATGAAGATGGTGAGAAGTTTCTCAATAAGCTTCACGACGGTGGACGTCGCTGGGTCCCAATTGTTGACGGAGCTCTCTATATTCCTAATCCCGAGAACGCTTCTGATGCGTAAGTGACCATCTTCTACACACTCTTAACCGTGAACGAAGACTCACCGTGATTGTAGGTACGAAACTTACGACAGAGGCGCCAAGGATGATGTTTTCATCAAGAACCCTGACGGCAGTCTCTATATTGGCGCTGTCTGGCCTGGCTATACTGTCTACCCTGATTGGCACCACCCCAAGGCCTCTGACTTCTGGGCCAATGAGCTGGTCACCTGGTGGAACAAGCTGCATTATGATGGAGTCTGGTATGACATGGCTGAAGTTTCTTCCTTCTGCGTAGGGAGCTGTGGTACCGGCAATCTGTCAATGAACCCGGCTCACCCACCGTTCGCTCTCCCCGGCGAACCCGGGAATGTCGTCTATGATTATCCCGAGAGCTTTGACATCACTAATGCTACGGAAGCAGCCTCGGCATCTGCTGGGGCCGCAAGTCAATCTGCAGCGGCACCATCCACAACTACATCAGCCCCTTACCTGCGTACGACACCGACCCCCGGAGTTCGTAATGTTGACCACCCTCCTTATGTTATCAACCATGTCCAAACTGGCCACGACCTGAGCGTCCACGCCATCTCACCAAACTCTACGCATTCGGATGGGGTTCAGGAGTATGATGTACACAGTCTTTACGGCCACCAAGGCATAAATGCAACTTATCACGGATTGCTCAAGGTGTGGGAGAACAAACGTCCTTTTATCATCGCACGCTCCACATTTGCCGGCTCTGGAAAATGGGCCGGTCATTGGGGCGGTGATAACTTCTCCAAATGGGGATCGATGTTCTTTTCGATCTCGCAGGCCCTTCAGTTCTCGCTCTTTGGCGTCCCTATGTTTGGTGTCGATACCTGTGGTTTCAATGGAAACACTGACGAGGAGCTATGCAACCGATGGATGCAGCTCTCGGCCTTTTTCCCGTTTTATCGCAACCACAATGTTCTCTCTGCAATTCCCCAAGAGCCTTATCAGTGGACATCCGTTATCGATGCCACCAAGGCAGCAATGAACATTCGCTATGCTATTTTGCCGTACTTTTACACCCTATTCCATCTGGCCCACACCACTGGATCTACAGTCATGCGCGCACTGGCGTGGGAATTCCCGAATGATCCCTCCCTAGCTGCTGTCGGCACTCAATTCCTTGTTGGTCCCTCGGTCATGGTGATCCCTGTTCTTGAGCCACAGGCAGATACTGTCAAGGGCGTCTTCCCAGGCGTTGGGCACGGGGAAGTCTGGTACGATTGGTATTCTCAAACCGCTGTCGATGCAAAACCTGGTGTCAACACCACGATCTCAGCGCCACTCGGTCATATTCCAGTCTTCGTTCGTGGTGGTAGCATTCTACCAATGCAGGAGGTTGCGCTGACCACCCGCGACGCTCGCAAGACCCCCTGGTCTTTGCTTGCCTCTCTGAGCAGTGAGGGAACTGCCTCTGGTCAGCTTTACCTTGATGATGGAGAGAGTGTCTACCCCGCGGATACACTTTCTGTAGACTTCCTGGCGTCGAAGTCCACTCTCCGAGCCTCTGCTCGGGGGACTTGGAAGGAGGCGAATCCACTAGCGAATGTGACGGTACTTGGTGTGACTGAGAAGCCATCCTCGGTGACACTCAATGGCCAGGAGCTCTCATCTGACTCTGTCACGTATAACGCCACCTCACAGGTTCTCCACGTAGGTGGCTTGCAGAAGCAAACAGCGGATGGTGCATGGGCGAAGGATTGGGAACTGAAATGGTGAAGGGAGCGTGAGAGGGGAGCGTAGATCTACACACCACCTGTATACATTTCCACAATTATGAAGCGATGAATGAAAAATTGCAGCAAATCGGACATCCGGAGCGCTCCATTGGGGCTGATATTTACGGGAATCTCACGCAGCGTATGCAAGCGTCCGACCAACGTAGCAAAATCCCCGAGTCAACAGCCAAGTCCATCACGGATCAAACCCGCCGTATCCGCAACCACGAGCGCAAGAACATCGCTAAGCATCGGACGCACCATCCAAGCAGAAGCAGCAAAGCGAGAAAGCCCAAGAAAAAAGTCGGCCCGTCGGGCTTTTCTGCAACGCTGATCGACAGCCGCGATCCAACCAACTCCCTCCAGAGCGACTAGGGGCGGAAATTTAATGGGATTAATTTCAACGCTACCACAAATCACGGTCGTCGCCGGGATTAGCCTGCAGAATGGAAATTAAACTGTTCTGCGAATCGCATGAATTCCCCGCCCCTGGACCTGCAGGTTAATGGACGTCACTTGGCAATGCGATGTATCACCCCGTATAAATAGCAAGCGATGCATGCTTGCAGGTAGACAACAACAACAACAACAACAACAATAACAGCAAGCTCTCCATTCTTTAAACAATAACCTCCGGAGAAGGCTTTCAGGATGGTCGCCTGGTGGTCATTATTTCTTTACGGTCTTCAGGTCGCCGCACCTGTGCTGGCTGCAACTCCGGCGGACTGGCGATCGCAATCCATCTATTTCCTTCTCACAGATCGATTTGCAAGGACGGATGGGTCGACAACGGCGACTTGTAATACCGAGGATCGGGTCTGCTCTTCCCTCCCAGCGTTCAGGAAGTGGACACAAAACTGACGTGATATAGAAATACTGTGGTGGAACATGGCAGGGCATCATCGACAAGGTAAGCCGCCTCCGCAACCAAAAGAATAACACCAAAAAGGAATTCTAGTCCTAATCATCACATAGCTGGACTATATCCAGGGAATGGGCTTCACAGCCATCTGGATCACCCCCGTTACAGGCCAGCTGCCCCAGGACACCGCATATGGAGAAGCCTACCATGGCTACTGGCAGCAAGATATGTAAGTCGATTTCTCTGTACACCCACCAGCCTTCTTCTACATAGAAATGAACTAACTGGATGGGTTTAGCTACGCCTTGAACGAAAACCACGGCACTGCAGATGACTTGAAGGCTCTCTCTTCGGCCCTTCATGAGAGAGGGATGTATCTCATGGTCGATGTGGTTGCTAACCATATGGTTCGTGGCCGTCTTTAACTGGCTTCGCAAACACAATTGATTATCATTCTGACAACATTTTAAAATCAGGGGTACGATGGAGCGGGCGCCTCGGTTGATTACAGCGTATTCAATCCGTTCAGTTCCCAAGACTACTTCCACTCGTTCTGTCTCATTGAAAACTATGACGACCAGACCCAGAGTGAGAATTGCTGGCTAGGAGATAACAGTGTCTCCTTGCCCGATCTTGACACCACCAAAGATGAGGTTAAGAACGAATGGTACGAATGGGTGGGAAATTTGGTATCGAACTACTCCAGTAAGATCTAACCCCCCCTTACCCTACAATCTAACTCATCGATCATACTTACAAAAATCCAGTTGACGGCCTCCGTGTCGACACAGTGAAACACGTCCAGAAGGACTTCTGGCCGGGATACAACGAAGCCGCAGGCGTATACTGCATCGGCGAAGTCCTCAACGGTGACCCGGCATACACATGTCCCTACCAGGACGTCATGGACGGCGTGCTGAACTACCCAATGTATGACTCCCCCAACCATGACTCTTCTTGCAGTCTCATTCTCTAACAAGACTGTCGAAACCAGTTACTACCCCCTCCTCAACGCCTTCAAATCCACCTCCGGCAGCATGAACGACCTCTACAACATGATCAACACCGTCAAATCTGACTGTCCCGACTCCACTCTGCTGGGCACATTCGTCGAGAACCACGACAACCCACGGTTCGCTTCGTAAGTCTTTCCAATCCCCACTCTCAATCCATCCACCTAACCAGAGAAAAAAAAAAAGCTACACCAACGACATCGCCCTGGCCAAGAACGTCGCCGCATTCATCATCCTCAACGACGGAATCCCCATCATCTATGCAGGCCAGGAGCAGCATTACGCGGGCGGCAACGACCCAGCGAACCGCGAGGCCACCTGGCTCTCAGGCTACTCGACAGACAGCGAGATCTACAAGCTCATCGCGTCCGCCAACGCCATCCGGAACCATGCCGTCAGCACCGACACAGGATTCGTGACCTACAAGGTAAGCACAGCGCACATCCCCCCAACCAGAGTATCGTATCCGAGACAAGAGAACTGATGAACCGGGATACAGAACTGGCCCATCTACAAGGACGACACGACGATCGCGATGCGCAAGGGCACTGACGGCTCGCAGATTGTGACTATCTTGTCGAACAAGGGTGCTTCGGGTGATGCGTACACCCTCTCTCTGGGTAATACGGGCTACACGGCCGGACAGCAATTGACGGAAGTCATCGGGTGCACGACCCTGACCGTGGGTTCGGATGGAAACGTGCCTGTTCCTATGGCCGGTGGGTTGCCGAGGGTATTGTATCCGACTGAGAAGTTGGGAGATAGCAAGATCTGTAGTAGCTCGTGAATGGTGGTGGTGGTGGGGTAAATGATGGTTAGTATTGGTATTCGATCTGGTATTGATTGCCAGACTGAGTTTGTTGGATCCAATATATTTAGTCGATATATATGGTCATTTTTTGTTCTATAACCGGGAAATCGAAATGTATCAATATTACTCGAAACATACTAGAGACTGAGGAAAGTTGATAATATCCCGAAGAAACAGAGCAAACAAAACAATAGATACATACAGAGAGAGAAAGCGAGGGCAGGTTGGAACTCCCCAATACAAGACCCAGTTTCCATGTACACAACGACATAACAAACCAAACCCAATATGAGACACCCCCCTCCCTACCAAGTACCTACTATCCACATTCAATACAACCTTAGATAAGCTTAATTCCGACAAAACGTCAATCCACTGATTCTTGTAGGGATATCCACTTGCGAGATAGGTAAGACACCTAGCGCCGTGGGGGTTGCATTCAAACTTGGGAGTTTTGGGACTGCTGTGGTTCTCTTTGGCTTGACTCGAGCTGTGAGTTCATCTAGAGACAGGGACGCTATGGATTTGCTTAGCATGTCAAGGGGTTCGATGTGGTAGCTGCTTGCGACTATGAGTTGAAAATGGAATGGGGAGAAAGGAATAGGAATGGCGAATTAATGATGGACGACATGATATAATTGAATACAATTATTAGAGTATATCATCTATTTTAGGTCTTGGTTTATGTTATCTAAGCATATCCTCTCGTAAAGCTATAAGCCTTCAAGTCTATGTCAAGCGTAATAGGACATTAGATTCAATTTTGGTGACGTATCACTTCTCCCATTTGTTGCCCATGCCGTTAAGTGCCTCATACATAGGCCGAGGTCGAGAGAGAAGGGGAAGGGGAAGAGTTACCAGACAAAAAGTATGTGTACTGCTGACCAGGGCTACACGTACCAATACAGTAAGGGCTCTCCAAATTTGAAGGAAAAGGGTAATTTGAATTAAGGTACGGGAGAAGTATCGTATATCCAATATTAAATACGCGCCAGACCATGTAACCCACCCGGCCCAAACCGTCCTCAACACCATTTTCGTTATACTATTATTACGGTATCGAAAAGCTGTTAGTATGGCGCCGATCCCACAGGGATGGCTTCGGTCACAGCCATGCCACTAATGACATTTTCCGGAAATGACTGTGGCATGACCTCAGGGATCAGCTGTTCCAAAGCGCCATATCCTTCAATCATGCTATCCACCAGGGGTGGCACGAATTGTACCTGTTCCAGGCTCATCTTCCGGGCATCTCCGAACGAGCACTGAGAACCATCGACTGCGCTGCAAGGGTCGTTGCATTCGGCACACCGACGCTTGAACTCGGCTATCATGCACGAAAACCGGTATGCGATGTGGTCTTCGTTTGGCGACAGATGCAGCAGAAACATCTGGATCTGGTCGATGAGTGGGTCGAGGAAGTTGAAGTCGCAAAGATTTAGAGCGGCATAACCGACGATGAAGTATGCCTGATCAACCACTCTCAGTGCGGTGACGAATCGGAGTTGCAGGAATTTCGAGATGATCAAGCGCGACCCCTGGAGAATTTCCGATGTGAGTCTTTCGGACTCCGCCTGGAACCTCATTGCTGTCCGGTGCAAGAGGATCTGACAAAACCACAGACTAAGCTCAAATGTTGAATTTTCATCACCAGCTATTAGATGGTTAGCATTTATATGAGATTGGTTCTCATAGCTTAGCCTTACCAAGGAGATGAGCCCATTCAACCTTCCACCGTTCAATCTCTTCGTACTCAACATCCGCGAATCGCATGCGTTGTTCGTTGGCTTGGAGTCGCAAAGTGATCAAGTACAGCTGAATCTCTGCTACGACCTTGCCATCCTCAACCGTTGCAGCGGGATGCTCGAGAAGTCGTGGGCAATAATCAAGATATCTCTGTGGTAAATGGAATGGACGTGCGTTGCCAACAGCGAAACTATTGCTGCATTAGCAGGGTTGAGTAAAACCTGAGATGTTGTACCTACTGTAACTGTGTCAAGCAGAAAGCGTTCCAGAGTCGCAACTGAGCGGCCATGTCGTTGTCAATGAGAAGCTCTGAAGGCACATGATTGAGGAAGTCAAAGGAGACGAGGGCATGGTTGATTGCAGTCCCGCTCAGTAACCAGCCATCTATGGGAAATTCCTTCTGGCCTGCCGCTGGCCATAGACAAAGAAGGGCGAGTGCCTGGAGTGATTCGTACTTCAAAGGCGGTTTCTCCCACAACAGATTGACTGCCTTATGGCGAACCTGGAGGTTCATGGCATGGAGAATCGGTGTTGGTATGCCTGGCACATATCGGGAGGCTAGCAGACAGGCAGTGCTATATAGTAATGAATCGGTTTTCCTCATCTCATTGTGGAAGTCGGACTGATTATTTATGGACACTAAAGGACCGAAATTATCCACAAATCTAGCTCAAGCATTAGCAGCTATAGAGGCAGATGGATGCGATGAGTGATCATACAGCTGTACCAACTTGAGAGATAGCTTAGAATCTAAGATACCCTTCTCAAAGCTGTTGCCCAAGAAAGGGGATTCAACAGGAAGGCGGTTTGTCTCCCCAAAGAACTCAGATTGGAGGTCCTGAATTAACCGAACGGGCTTAGGTAGGAAAGGGCCGAACGAGCTTCCTTCAACGGAGGCTGTGTCTTCCGTATGAACACTCCGAGCCAATGGAGGTACAGAGATATTAGAGACGCTTGGTGATTGATTCAAAATTTGCCGGAGCATGCCGGTCATCTCTCTCATACTCCTCTCGAGGGAAGTGAGACGCTCTTCAATGGAGGGGATAGCTGTCGTTGCGTCTGACCACATTGGAGTACTGTCTTGAAAGCGCTCACTTGTCTCAGGGAGCTGACAGTCGATTCTATAGAAACATTAGTACCCAAGGAAGGCTTATTTGGTCTTGGCAGGACATGGGATCCCCCAATTTGACGTAAGAGATTCGGTAAAGTGGATAGCGGTGGCACCCGACCTTAAAGATAAACACCGCCGGCATGCATGCCCTCGTGGATCAAGATCGCATCGAGTTTTAAGCTTGCGGCAAGTATTACAAGCGGTCATTGAACGTCGAATACGGCCCTTTGGGCGCGTCGCGTCGTCGCCGACATTAGGGATGATTCTTCTATGGTCGTCGGACACATGCACGCTCTTGTGCTCCCACGAAGGAGCCTCATATTTGATAGGTTCAACAGTAGTTCTAGTCATGACATCAGACTACGGATGTAGCTTGTCGCGTTGATGAAATGAATAATCGGCGGGCAAAACAAGCTGAGAACAAGAAAAATTGTGGAAACCAAGTCAGGTCCCGTGCAAATCATTGAGAATCCACACAGGTGGGGAGGGAATTGACCCTTTTAACAGCCCACGGCCGGGCGTGAAGAGGAGATTGTGCTAGCTCACAGGCAGCTGACGAAATAGGCTCCTTAGATTGATTATCCATTTTGACCTGGGGTAAATGCGAACTAATCGGAGCATTTCAGCCAATCCGTGCAGATCCGAGTCCCTAGGGTGCTGTTTCTAGAAGAATAGAAAGGGTGGTTTGGCGTACTAGGAACTGCAACAAGAGAGGGGTTGATTGACGTGCGCCATTGCAGCTGCGCCTCCGATGTAAGCCGGTTCCATAGGGAGTCCCGCTTCCATGAGGGGGTTGGATTGGGTTGCTAAGGTTGACGCCGACCTGAAATTAGCTAAGGACTGTCACTAATCGTGACCTCCGGTGATTTGTCGATAGCGTGTCTCTTATCATGGCGGGTTGAAGATTGCGATCGGGCATACACCCCCAAAGTAGAAGGTGTGTCTGACCTTTGCTCATTCGTTATGATTCAGGAACAACCGTTTTTTTTTTTTTTTTTCGCTCATCCTTAATTTGTCTCTTCCGCGTTCTCTCGTGTATGATCCGGATCACCTCTCAGGGACATGTCTGAGCGTCGTTGCTGATTTGAAGAAGCCCGGGTGATCTAAGATAGGAGGAAAGCCGATCACGCAGATCATGAGATATCAGATCCTTCGAAGCATAGGCAATAGGATACGCGCGATTGCCTTATAAACCCGTATAAACTGGCTTTTGCTTGAAGATTTTTTTCTTTACTTCAAACAGCCAATCCTGCAATGCAACCTTGATCCCCTGGCCCAACGGTTACCCACGGGCTTGTTCCTGGTTCTTGCATAGTGGCATGATAGTGTTCTGCCACCCGCACTTAGGTTTCTTAGCCAACAAAATCAGGGCATTGCTGCAGTTCTGTTCGCGATACCCTTGACCGCTGGTCTGATGCTCGTCAGGCACGGCCGTTGAGGAGTGGCTCTCTACAATTCATCCCAAGTCATCTGCTTCTTGTCAGGGATTTGCATCCCTGCACAAAAGCGGAACCACTATATTAATTAATGACTGTAGTGCTATTAAGGCTGGGATTTCGGATATTCCAACCGCAGAGTTGAAGTGGCCATCCACCCGTTGTTGTGGAGCTTGGCTTGGGGTATACCTTCTCAGCGGTACTCACCGCCGCCCATCGAGAATGTGGAACGTAGAATCAAACTTTGAGCTAACACTGTTTGACTGTATTGATGAGCGGAGGTGATGCAACCTTTCAGAGCCCTTCAATCTCCGGCAACATTCGGTGATCTGACCGTTGCTGACCAACTTGGCCTCTCCTCCCTTAACGACTCGACGTTCAAGAAGTTTAGTGTGTCAAGCAATTTTAGTGCCACGCCAAACCGCAATTTCTCCGGCATTAGACCCTTTCAGGAACAAAGCGCATTCGTCCCAGCCATGTTAGCCGGAGGGGTGTTGAGGGGGGGAAAAAAGACGCACATTCATTTATCTTGCCCCAGTTTCTTCACATGCTACCGAAATTTCGCCAACCACATCAGGTCAAGGTACTCGAGGATAGCGTACGCCAAGGGTGTAACGTAAAAGGCACGAACTGGGCCCTTTCTTAGCGGATGATCGATTCACAGCCAATCCTCGATCGTGCGT